CACCAAGAAATGCTCAAGCCAAAGGGCTTCAGTGGTGAATACTAGCAAATATTTAAAGAAGAATTAATACCATCCCTTCACAAGCTTTTCCAAAAAGTAGAAGAGGAGTTAACACTTAACTTATTTTGTGAGACAAGAATGTTATTATATTCTAATTACTAGAGTATTACTGTAACATCAAAATCAGACAATACTATCACAAGAAAATAAAACTGTAGACCAATATGTTGTGAATATGAATGCCAAAGTTCTCAGCAAAACACTAGCAAATTGAATCCAGTATTATATAAAATGGATTACACACCACAAGCGAGTAGAATTTATCCCAGGAATGTAAAGTTGGTTTTAAATGCAAATATCAATTAACGTAATACCGAATACTGATTGAATGAAGGAGAAAAAAGATCACATGATCAGCTTACTAGACAAAGTAAAAGCATTTGACAAAATCCAAGCATTTCATGATAGGAATACTTCACAAACTAGGAACAGAAGAGTGCTTCCTTAATCTGATCTAGGCTAACTACTACCAAAACCCATAGCTAACACTATACTTAATGGTGAAGAACTTAATAAATTCTAAGATCAGGAACAAGACAGGACATCTCACCACATCTATTCATCATTGTAGTACAAGTTCTATCCAGGGCAATTAGAGAAGACAAGGAGTGAAAGATGTTCATATCGGGAAGGAAGAAGTAAAACTACTTTTTGTAGATGTCATGATCTTGTGTATAGAAAATCTTAAGGGATCTGCTAAAAACGATTTGAAAAAACAAATGAATTCATCTTTTGCATTACACCAGATTCATAAATAAAAATCAATTGTATATCTATATACTAACTGTTATGGGTTGAATTGCTCCCCCCGCCAAAATTATGTTGAAGCTCTAACTCCCAGCACCTCATATTGATTTAATTAATTAACTAATTAATTAATTTTTAAAGTTTATTTAGTTTTGAGAGAGAGACAGAGAGAGTTAGCAGGGGAGGGTCAGAGAGAGGGAGAGAGAGAATCCCAAGCAGGCTCCACACTATCAGCACAGAACCTGACGTGGAGTTGAAACTCACCAACTGTGAGATCATGACCTGAGCTGAAACCAAGAGTAGGACGCTCAACTGACTGAGCCACCAGGGTGCCCCTGAACTTATTTTTAAATAGGGTCATTGTAGACATAATTAGTTAAGATGAAGTCATACTGGGGTAGGATGGGCCCTTAATCCAATATGACTGGTATCCTTGTAATAATTGGAGAAGACAGTATAGAAAGAGGGAAGAAGTTACGGAGGCAGAGATTGGATTTGTGCTACTACGGTCTGGAGAATACCAGGCACTACTAGGAGCTGAAAGAGGCAAACAAGGATTCTCCTCTAGAGGTTCTAGAAGGAGCATGGCCCTAAGAACTGAATTTTAGATTTGTAGTCTCCAGAACTGTGAGAGCATAAAATATTTGTAGTTTTAAGTTACCCAGATTGTGATACTTTGTTACAGCAGCCCCAGGAATCAATCTAATACACTAAGATGAACATTCCAAAAGTGAAATTAAAAAAAAAATCCATTTAAAATACCACCAAAGACAACAAGACTGAATTTAACAAAAGAAGTGTAAGACTTGTGCACTGAAAACTACAAAACATCATTGAAAGAACTTAAAGAAGACCTAGTTAAATGGATAGACATTCCATTTTCATGGACTGTTAGACTTAATAATCTTAAAATGGCAGTGTTCCCCAAACTGATCTAGAGATTCAATGCAATCTCTTTCAAAATGCCAGCTTTCTTATTGCATGAACTGACAAGCTGATCCTAAAATTCATGTGGAAATACAAGGAATCCAGAAGAACCAAATAAATCTTAAGAAGAACAAAGTTGAAGGATTCACATTTAACTAATTTTAAAACTTAATACAGGGCTGTAGTAATCAAGACAATGTGGTACTGGCATAAAGTTATACCTACATACATCAATGGAATAAACTTGAATGTCCAGAAATAAACCCTTACATTTATGGTCAATTAATTTTTTAATAGTCTTTAAAAATTTTTTTTTTCAACGTTTATTTATTTTTGGGACAGAGAGAGACAGAGCATGAACGGGGGAGGGGCAGAGAGAGAGGGAGACACAGAATCAGAAACAGGCTCCAGGCTCCGAGCCATCAGCCCAGAGCCTGACGCGGGGCTCGAACTCACGGACCGTGAGATCGTGACCTGGCTGAAGTCGGACGCTTAACCGACTGCGCCACCCAGGTGCCCCTTTAATAGTCTTTTAAAAATATTTTAATTTTATTTTTTTATTCAAGTATAATAAAAATACAGTGTTATATTAGTTTCAGGTGTACAATATAATGATTCAGTAATTCTATACATTACTCGGGGACTCTTAATCCCCTTTATTTCAGCCATTTACCCACCCACCTCCTCTCTGGTAACCACCAGTTTATTCTCTATATTTAGGGGTTTGTTTCTTGGTTTGTTTCTTTCTCTTTTTTCCCTTTGTTTATTTATTTTGTTTCTTAAATTCCACATGAGTAAAATCATATGGTATCTGTCTTTGACTTTCACTTAACACTGTACCTTCTAGATCCATGTTGTTGCAAATGGCAGAATTTCATTCTTTATATGGCTGAATAATCCACTGTATGTGTGTATATGTACATATACAAATGTCTTCTTTATCAATTTATCTATTGATAGAGACTTTGCTACTTTCATAGTTTGGCTATTGTAAATAATGCTGCAATAAATATAGGGGTGCATCTACTGTTCAAATTAGTATTTGTGTATTCTTTGGTTAAATACCCAGTAGTGTAATTACTGGATTGTAAGATAGCTCTATTTTTAATTTTTTGAGGAATCTCCATACTGTTTTCCACAGTGGCTACATCAGCTTGCATTCCACCAAAAGTACACAAGGGTTTTTTTTTTCTCTACATCCTCATCAGCACTTGTTATTTCTTGTGGTTTCGATTTTAGCCATTCTAACAGATGTGAGGTGATATCTAATCGTGGTTTTGATTTCCATTTCCCTGATGATTAGTGATGTTGAACATCTTTTCATGTGTCAGTTTTCTATGCTTATGTCTTTGGAAAAATGTCGTTCATGTACTTTGCCCATTTTAAAATCAGATTATATATTTTTTGGTGTTGACCTGTGTAAGTTCTTTATATGTTTTGAATATTAATCCTTTATTGGATATATCATTTGTGGAAAGGATAGTCTTTTTAATAATTGGTTCTTGGGCAACTGGATATCTATATGCAAAAGAGCCTTTTAGAAGAAACACAGGAATAAATCTTTGTGACGTTGAGTAATGTAATGGTTTTTTAAATAGGACACCAAAAGTACAACCAAAAAAAGAGAAGAAAATAGGTAAGTTGACTTTCATAAAATTAAAAACCTTTGTACTGCAAATGATACATTAAGCATATGAAAAGACAACACCTAGAATGTGAAAACTATTCGCAAATCATATATTTGATAAGGAACTTGTATCCAGAGTATATAAAGAATTCTTATACCTGCATAATAAGAAGATAAATAACACAATTTAAAAATGGACAAATAATCTGAAAAGACATTTTATGAAGCAAGATATACTAATGGCTGATAAGCACATGAAGTGATGCTGAACATCATTAGCCTTTAGGGAATTTCAAATAAAAATTACAATGATATACCACTTCACATTGATTAGGATGGCTGTAATAAAAAAAGATGACAATAACAATTGTTGGCAAGGATTTAGAGAAATTGGGACCCTTATACGTTGCTGGTGGGAATTGAAGTGGTGTGTCTGCTATGGAAACCAGTTTGTCAGTTCCTTAAAATGTTAAATACAATGTCAATATATGACCCAGCAATTCTGTTCCTAGGTTTATACCTGAGAGATGGAAAACATATGTACAAGCAAAAACTTGTACATGGATGTTCATAGTAGCATTATTCATAATAGCCCCAAAGTGGAAATAATCTAAATGCCTATATGGATTATGGATAAATCAAATGTGTACAATGGAATGATATTTGGCAATACCAAGGAACATAGTACTGATATATGCTACAACATGGATGAATCTTGAAAACAGTACAGTAAGTGTAATAAACCAGTTTCAAAAGACCACATATAATTTTATTTGTATGAAATATCCAGAATAGACAAATCTATAGATATAGGAAATTAGATTAATGCCTGCCAGGTTTGGGGACAGTGTTGGGAAGAATAGGGAGTGACTGCTAATTGGTACAGGGTTTCTTTTTGAGGTAATCAAAATGTTCTAAAATTAAATAGTGGTAATAGTTGCTCAACTTGGTGAATATATGAAAAACCATTGAGTTGTATACTTTAAATGAGTGAATTGTATGTTATGTTAATTATATCTTAAAGCTTTAAAAAATTTGGATTATAATAAGTAACTCATTTGTCCAAAATAAAAATCTATAGTTTACCCATACCTTGGAACAGTTTTTGGCAAACTTCAGCCCATGAGTCAAATCTAGCCAAGTCCTTTCATTTACCTATCATTTATGCCTGGTTTTGCAGAGTTGGGAAGTGGTGACAGTTCATCTGGCCTGTAAAGTCTAAAATATTTACTATCTGGCTCTTTATAGAAAAAGTTTGCTAAATCCTGCTATGGAATAAGAAGTGGTACTTAGAAGGAGTGAGATACATCTATGTTTACCAATATAAATGGATCTCAGACATTGTGTGAAGTGAAAATAATAAGTTTAGGACAATATATACATTACTGTAATTTACATGAAAAAGAAAACAAGGCAGTCACCCAACCTACTAACAAAAATTATAGAATCAAATAGATATATGTAGTATTATATAAATGTATTGAACAGGTTCTGAAAAGATACACAGCAATCTAATAATATCTCTAGAGAGAGCACTGGATTTTTGGAATAATGGTCAAAGTGTATTCTAACATTATTTACATTATTTTAAATTTTTTCAAAGAAAATATATAAGTATGTTACAGAAATAAAAATATGAATATAAAATGATAATACATTACAGATATTTTTGGTTTGTTTTTCAGAGCTATGAATGATCAAGGTTTGTTAGAGGATGTAAGTATAGCACTCTCAGTTTGAAATTGCACTCTGCCTGTGAAAATATTAGTAGAGTCTAGAAATTGTCAGGATGCATAATCTTCAATAAAGGTTTAGTGCTTCCTAAGTTTATTCAAGAAATTTCTATGTATATGTGAGCTTGAAAGCTTTGTCTTTTTTTATTTTACTAGACTTTATTGTCACTCAAAAACACTTCACTTCTAAAATATTGAACTATAATACCCCATGTTCTTCTACATTTCCATTTATTGTTACTTCTAGCTCCTTTGCCTCTTTCAGCCCCAATTGTAGTTCATTAGGCAGATTAATATCAATGGTTCATTATTTCATGAGTTCATGGAGACTTTCTTACTTTAATAATTAAGTGCCCAAATAGCTTCTCTGTGATGAAACATATGATTTTCTTTTTAAAAAATATTTATTTATTTTTGAGAGGGAGGGGGAGAGAGAGAGAGAGTCATTGTCATTTGGAGAGAGAGAGAGAGACAGAGAGTCCAAAGCAGGCTCTGCATTGTCAGCACAGAGTCCAACATGGGGCTTGAACTCAGGAACAGTGAGATCATGACCTGAGCTGAAGTCTGGCACTCAACCTACTGAGCCACCCAGGTGCCCCTGTATGATTTTCATTATTACTAAAATTATATTCTTTGTTTTTAGAAATACAAAGAAATGCAAAGTAATTTCCAAGTGTTATTAGAGGAGAAATTGGTGCTGGAAAATGAACTACAAAAGTTGAAGACTACAGAGGTTAGTTCAATTTTAGTGTCTGAAAATGGAAGAATACCTAAAAAGCCTTATTATTGTAGGGCAGACGTCAAAGATATATTTAAATGTTTTATAACACATTTTTGATATTAATTATAGATAATAGCTATGCTGTGAAAGTAAAATAATGCTATTTTCTAAATTACCATATTAGCTATTAAAACCAGATACTATGAAAAACAGACATAAAATTTAAACATTCCACAAGACATTTCTAGGCCAAATATTTATTTATTAAAATATCAACAAATTAGATTTTTCAAATATATTTTATTTTTTAAAGGTTTTTAAAAATTCTAGTTATTTAACATAAAGTATATTAGTTAAGCTGTACAATTTAGTGATTTAACCCTTACATGCAACACCTGGTGCTGATCACAAGTGCGCTCAGTCCTCATCACCTATTTAACTTGTCCTGTACGCACCTCCTCTTTGGTAACCATCAATTTGTTCTTTATAGTTAAGAGTCTGTTTCTTAGTTTTCCTCTCTCTGTTTTAACCCATGATCCTTTGTTTTGTTTCTTAAGTTCCACATATGAGTGAAATCCTATGGTATTTTTCTTTCTCTGACTGACTTATTTTGCTTAGCATAATACTGTCTTGTTGCAAATGGCAAGAATTCATTCTTTTTTAATGGCTGAGTAATATTGCACTGTATATATCTATATCTATATCTATATATCTATATCTATATCTATATCTATATATCTATCTATATCTATATCTATATCTATATCATCATCTATATCTATATCTATATATCTATATCTATATCTATATCTATATCTATATCTATATCTATATCATCATCTATATCTATATCTATCTAGATATAGATATAGATATACATATACATATAGATATGCTATATATAGATATGGGGTGTGTGTGTGTGTATATATATGTATATATATGTGTATGCATATGTATATGTATATATACGTATATATATATATATGTACACACACACACACACACCCCATATCTTCCTTATTCATTCATCAGTCAGTGGACATTTGGGCTCTTTCCATAATTTGGCTCTTGGTTGATGATAGAGGTGCATGTATCCCTTTGAATTCCTATTTTCGTATTCTCTGGATAAATATCTAGTAGTGTAAATAGTGGATCATAGGGTAGTTTTATTTTTAACTTTTGAGGAACCTCCATGCTGTTTTCCAGAGTGGCTGCACCAGTTTGCATTCCCACCAACAATGCAAGAGGGTTCTCCTTTCTCTGCATCCTCACCAACACCTGTTGTTTCTTATGTTGTTAACTTTAGCCATTCTGACAGATATGAGGTGGTACCTCATTGTAATTTTGATTTGTATTTCCCTGATGATGAGGGATGTTGAGCATCTTTTCATGTGTCTGCTGGCCATCTGGATGTCTTCTTTGGAAAATGTCTATGTCTTCTGCCCATATTTTAACTGGATTATTTATTTTGGCTATTGAGTTTTATAAGTTCTTTATACATTTTGGCTACTAAGCCTTTATTAGGTATATCATTTGCAAATATTTTGTTCCATTCTGTAAATTGCCTTTTAGTTTTGTTGATTGTCTCCATCACTGTGCAGAAGCTTTTTATCTTGATGAAGGCCCAGTAGTTTATTTTTGTTTTTGTTTCTGTTGTCTCAGGTGATGTGTGTACTAAGACCTTGCTACGGGTGAGGTCAAGGAGGTTCCTGCTTGTGTCTCCTCCAAGACTTTGTTTCCTTTCTCATATTTAGATCTTTCATCCATTTTGAATTTTTGTGTATAGTGTAAGAAAGTGATCCAGTTTCATTCTTCTGCATGTCACTGTCCAGTTTTCCCAACACCATTTGTTTTCTCCTCTAGGATTTTAATGGTTTCCTGTCTCACATTTAAGTCTTTCATCCATTTTCAATTTATTTTTGTGTATGGTGTTAGAAAGTGGTCCATTCTTACAGCACCATTTGCTGAAGAGACTATCTTTTTTCCCATTGATTATTCTTTTCTGCTTTGTCAGAGATTAGTTGACCATACAGTTGTGGGTCCATTGTGGGTTTTCTATTCTGTTCCATTGATCTATGTGTCTGTTTTTGTGCCAGTACCATAATGTCTTGATGATTACAGCTTTGTAGTACAGCTTTAAGTCTGGAATTGTGATGCCTCCCACTTTGTTTTTTCTTTCTTTCTTTTCTTTTTTTTCTCTTTGCAACATTACTTTGGATGGTTGGGGTCTTTTGCGGTTCCATACAAGTTTTAGAATTGTTTGTTTTAGCACTGTGAAAAATGTTGTTGGTACTTTGATAGGGATTGCATTAAATGTGTAGATTGCTTTGGATAGTATGGACATTTTAACAATGTTTGTTCTTCCAGTGCATGAGCATGGAATATTTTTTCATTTCTTTGTGTCTTCAGTTTCTTTCACAAGTGTTCCTTAATTTTCAGAGTACAGATCTTTTGCTTCTTTGCTTAGGTTTATTAATGGGTATCTTATGGGTTTTGGTGCAATTGTAAATGGGATCAATTTCTCGATTTCTGTTTCTGTTGCTTCATTACTGGTGTACAGAAATGCAACCGATTTCTGTACATTGATTTTGTATCCTGCAACTTTGCTGAATTCATGTATTAGTTCTAGCAATTTTTTGGTGGAGTCTTTCAGGTTTTCTGCATAGAGTATCATGTCATCTGCTAAGAGTGGAAGTTTGACTTCTTCCTAGCCAATTCAGATGTCTTTTCTTCTTTATGAAAATGAGGCGAGGACATTCAGTACTATGTTGAGCAGTGTTGAGAGTGGACATCCCTGTCATGTTACTGAACTTAGGGGGAAATCTCTCAGTTTTTCCCCATTGAGATGATATTAGTGGTGGGTCTTTCATATATGGCCTTTATGATCTTGAAGTATGTTCCTTCTATCCCTACTTTCTTGAGGGCTTTTATCAAGAATAGATTCTTTATTTTGTCAAATGCTTTTTCTGCATCTATTGAGAAGATTATATGGTTCTTATCCTTTCTGTTATTAATGTGATGTATCATGTTGAGTGATTTACAAATATTGAACCAGCCCTGCAGCCCTGGAATAAATCCCACTTGATCATGGTGAATGATGCTTTGTATGTGCTGTTGTATTTGATTTACTAGTATCTTTTTGAGGATTTTTGCATCTGTGTTCAGCAGGGATATTGGCCTGTAATTCTCCTTTTCAGTGGGGTCTTTGCATGGTTTTGGAATGAAGGTAGTGCCTGCCTAATATAATGAGTTTGGAAGTTTGCCTTCTGTTTCTATTTTTTGGAACAGTTTGAGAAAAATAGGCATTAACTCTTTAACTGTTTGATAGAATTCCCCTGGGAAGCCATCTGGCCCTGGACTCTTGTTCATTGGGAGATTTTTGATTACTAATTCAATTTCTTTGCTTGTTATGGGTCTTTTCAAATTTTATATTTCTTCCTGTTTCAGTTTTGGTAGTTTATATGTTTCTAGGAATTTTATCCATTTTCTTCCAGATTGCCTAATTTGTTGGCATATAATTTTTCATAATCTCTTTTAATTGTTTGTACTTCTGTGGTGTTTGGTCATGATGTCTCTTTCTTTTGAGGTTTTATTTATTTGGGTCCTTTCTCCCCCCCTCCCTCTCTCTCTCTCTCACTTTTTAATAAGTCTGCCTAGGGATTTATTGATTTTGTTAATTCTTTCAAAGAACTAGCTCCCAGTTTTGTTGATCTGTTCTAATGTTTTTTTTTTTAATTTTCTATTTCATTTATTTCTGCTCTAATCTTTATTATTTACCTTTTCCTGTTTGTTTTAGGCTTTATTTGCTGCTCTTTTTCCAGCTCCTTTAGGTGTAAGGTTAGATTGTGTATTTGAGACTTTTCTTGCTTTTTGGGTAAGAGCTGTATTGCTATATTCTCCCCTGTTAATGACCACCTTTGCTGCATCCTGGAGGTTTTGGACTGTTGTGTTTTCATTTCCATTGCTTCCATGCATTTTTTAATTTCTTCTTTAATGTTTTATTTTTTTATTTGAGAGAGAGATAGATAGGGAGGTAGTGAGCGAGCTGGAGCAGGGGAGGGGCAGAGAGAGATGGGGCAGAATATTTGAAGTGGGCTCTGTGCTGACTGACAGCAGAGAGCCTGATGTAGGGCTCAAACTCATGAACCATAAGATCATGTCCTGAGCTGAAGTTGGGTGCTTAACTGACTGAGCCTCCTGGCACCCCTATTTCTTCTTTAATTTCCTGGTTAGCCCATTCATTCTTTAGTAGAATGTTCTTCAACCTCCATGTGTTTGTGGTCTTTCCAAAATTTTTCCTGTGGTTGATATCAAGTTTCATAGCATTGTGCAGTCTGAAGATACCCATGGTAGGATCTCAAAATTTTCTACTGGTTGAGGGCTGACATGTGACCCAGTATGTGATCAATTCTGGAGAATGTTCTGTGTACACTTTAAAAGAATTTGTATTCTTCTGCTTTAGGATGAAATACTCTGAATATATCTTTTAAGTCTATCTTGTCCAGTATGCCATTCAAAGCCATTGTTTCCTTGTTGGTATTCTGCTTACATGATCTGTCTATTGTTGTAGGTGTGCTGTTAAAGTCCCCTACTATTCTTGTATTATTATCAATGAGTTTCTTTAAGTGTTTTTTTACTAATATACTTGGCTGATTTCAAGTTGGGAGCATAAATATTTAAAATTGGTATATCTTTTTGTTGGATAGACTCCTTTATTATAATGTAGTGCCCTTCTTCATCTCTTATTACAGTCTTTGGTTTAAAATTGAGTTTGATATAAGTATGGCTACTCCACCTTTCTTTTGAAATCCATTAGCAAGAAAAATGGTTCTCTGTACCCTCACTTTCTATCTGGAAATGTCTTTGGTTCTAAAATGAGTCTCTTGTAAGCAGCATATTGATAGGTATTATTTTTGTATCCATTCTTATACCTTATGTTTTTGATTGGAGCATTTAGTCCATTTGCATTCAGTCATTATTGGTAGGTATGAATTTAGTGTCATTGTATTACCTGTAAAGCCAGTATTCCTATAGATTGTCTCTGTTCCTTTCTAGTCTTTGTTGCTTTTGGTCTCTCTTTCCTACTCAAAGAGTCCCTTTTAACATTTCATGTAGAGCTGGTTTAGCATTCACAAAACTCCTTTAGTTTTTGCTTGTCTTGGAAAATCTTTACCTTTCCTTTTATTCTGAATGACAGCCTTGCTGTATAAAGTATAAATGTTTCAGATTTTTATGCTATTTTAATTGCTATCTTTTAAAAAATATTTTTAAACTGTCATTAGAGAAGTGTAATAAATTTTGTTTACTTAATTTTGTATCCAAAGTATATGTGACTAATAATAGCCTAAATTTTCTTGCTTTCCAATTGTAATACTGTTTCTTTTTCTTGCCTGGCTAAACTGGCAAAGACCTCTAGAATGATATTGAATAGACATGATGAGAGTAGGTATTTTTCATTTGTTCCTGATTTTAAAAGGAAATATTCTTGTTTCTATGGTCATTCAGCCTGCTCTTTCTTTCTCTTTCAATATTGTTTATCAGGTTAAAATATTTTTCTTCTTTTCATAATTTGCTAAATATTTTTTTCATGCTCTATAAAATTCTTTCAGCCTCTGCCTACTTCCCAATTCTGAAACCACTTCTACATTTTTAGTTATATGTTACAATAGCACCACACTTCCAGGTAACAAAATCTTTATTACTTTTTAATTTGCTGCTCAATTGCTTGCTTTATAGTAAAGGGTTTACAGTCTTGTTTTAAAACTTTACTTAAGAACCTTTAAGACTGTACTTAAGAACCTTAAGATAATGTGTTTTGTCCTTTTCCAGCCTGAGTACCACTATTTTCATACATTTTACTATCTATGGTATAAGCTGCACAACACATTGTTATTAGTTTAGCTGTAAACTATTACCTTTTAAAGAGATTTAAATAATAAGGAAAACAGTCTTTATATTTATTTACTCATTTAATTATCATTTATGTTGGTCTTTAATTTGTATATTTCCTTATTTCTGTCTAGTGTCATTTTTCTTGTGCTTAAAGGATTCTTCATAATTTTTGTTATTGTTGTTCAGGTCTGCAGCTGATTCATTCATTCAACTTTTTGATTTCTGAAAAAACTTTTTTTTTTTTGTATTCAGTTTTAAAACATATTTTCTCTGGACAAAGAATTCTAGGTTGGCTGGTTCTTTTCTTCTAGTACTTTAAAGAGTTTCTTTTTTATCTTCTGGCTTGCATTGTTTCTAAAAAGTCTGCTGTCCACTTTATTTTATATAGAATCTACTTTCCTCCTCTGCTTTTAAGATTTTATCCTCATCATTGCTTATAATTTTATTATCATATGTCTTAGAACTAGTTTTCCTTATATTTTTTGTGGGTTTGTGAGCATAAAGTTTTGTCAAATTTGAAAGTAAAATTTGTCCATTGTTTCTTCAAATATTTATTTTCTTTGCTCACTTCTTCTCTCCATTATGTACTGAAATTACAAGTATATTTGTCCACTTGAAGTTTTCTCACAACTAACTGATGATCTGTTCATTACTTTTAGTCTTTTTTCCTTTCATTTTTAAAGTATTTTTGATGGCCAATGTATATTAGATTTTTCTGTATAAGAAATACATCCCAAAACTCATATTTAAACTAGAAAGTTACCTGGAGACCTTAAGAATTCCATTGCAATTCATTATTATAGTGGTTTTTTCATATTTTATGAGGATTATTACACTTTGTGTTTAACTTGTGAGAACTTTGCCACTATAGTGAAGTTGTATCTTTTGGGAGTTGTATAAAACAGGAAATAAACACCTAATGCCTTAATAGGTCTCTATTATTAAGCTCATCTACAAATTTCAGTAATCTAATTGTTAATTTTTTTCTCAACTTTCTTGTATAAAATAATCTAGTACTACATAGTCATTCAATAATACTTTAAAATATGTGGTTGGTTCTGCTGTAATATTTGTTTTGAAATGCAAATTTGTTCTAACAAACAATTTGAACATAATATGAATTTTACATGTGTTTATGCACAAATTCATCTGCTAAAAGTACTAGGTAAAAGGAGAAAGCAGACTCTGCACACTGTATTCGTTAACCATGTTTGTAGTGTACCACACCAGTCCACATCTGTCACTACAACTTTTTATGTGATTTCAGATAATCCTTCTTCCCAAACTACACGATAACAATTTGCAACCTATTCGATGATCACTTCCACAAACACACCTCATGTCTTTCTCAAAATGAAGAACTATATTTCTCATACTATGTGTTTCTCAAATCATCTAACTTTGTAAAATGGAACTGTTTTTATTAGGTTTCTATTTTTAAAAAATGTATCATTGACAATGTTTGTTGCATGCTGGGCACCTTACCTCATTTCTCTCATATATCCTGCAGTTTTTAGTGCATGAGTTTTCATAGATGATTTTCAGGAAGATATGTATATATTAGAGAAGACCTGGCTGTAATTTGTCAGGGGAATTTTCTTCTTTTGATATGTATTAACTTATATACAACTTACATTCAGTAGAGTACCATAACAAGCATTCTGATTGTATCCTTAATTTTGTTGTGCTTCTTTTTAGATAATTTTTCTTGAAACATAGTATAGTGATTCTCAAAGTAAAATGGAAATCTTAGTAATGCATATTATCTTTTACTTCCCTCTAATTATTGTCTCATTAACTGTTTGTTTCTGGCTTATATAAAATTACACAGAAAGCAAAGTCTACATATGATCGAACAAAGAAAACTATAAAAATGGAGAAGAAAAAAGACAAAAGAAAATCTGAGGATACAGAAGAGTAAGATATAAAGCTACATGTTTATATTTTTTCCTTGTTAATTTACATTTTCATTTTATACAAACAATTTGAGATCATATAAACATAACTTTTAACAGGTTTCTAAAAAATGTAACACTACATAATACCATAGTTTTATAAGCAGACCAGGATATGATGGAGGAAGAGGGCTGGGAAAGGAAGAACAAAGAATAAAAGTAGGTTAGGAGAATGAACCAAATAGTCAGGAATAAGTAAACAGAATTAAATCTGTAAATCATTTTAGGGACAGAGGATTTACATTATTTCCTTGATGGTTTAGCTAGTGATTTGTGATTTGTATATTAACTCCTCAGTCTGGGCTATTCTTTTTTTTTTTTTTTTTTTTTGATTATACTTATTTTGTGAAAGGAATCATCTATTTTTTATGCATGTGGATTATTGTAAAGTGGCCTTTTTAAGTGAATATCTCTTTAGTAATATAAATTTTTTTTTTGCATTTTGAATTTGCTTTAGTCAAACCCTAATACGGGGTGCCTGGGTGGCTCAGTTGGTTAAGTGTCCCACTTCCGCTCAGGTCACGATCTCACGGTTCATGAGTTTGAGCCCTGCATCGAATTCTGTGTTGATAACTGAGAGCCTGGAGCCTGCTTCATATTTGGTGTCTCCCTCTCTCTCTGCCCCTCCCTCACTCATGCTCTGTCTCTCTTTCTCTCTCAAAAATAAATAAACATTTAAAAACCCCTAATATAAATACATAATTTTAAAAGAAACTGTGAATTCAATCTTTATAGAGTTCTATAAATTCTGAAAAGAAATTCATTGGATAAGTAGCCTTGACCTTTGTCTCAAAGAGGAAAAGATGACTACTTTCTTTCTTTTTTTTTCTTTTGCTCATTTGTTTTGTTTCTTTAATTCCACATATGAGTAAAATCATATGGTATTTGCCATTCTCTGAATGGCTTAGTTCACTTAGCATTATACTAAGCTCCACCCACATTGTTGCAAATGGCAAGATTTCATTCCTTTTTTTTTTTTTTTAATTTATTCAACATAGATTTATTGAGAGCTTGTTTTGTGGAAGCACTGCTGTAGGTGCTGGGATATATTAGTTACCAAAATATCAGTTTTTTCATCTTCTTAAACAATAGAACATTGCCATGATTTTAATGACTAACTTTCCATATCAAAAAGGAAAAATCCCCTCTTGATACTCTGAGGTCCGGTTTAAATTCCCAAAAGGCAGGGTGCCTGGGTGGCTCAGTCGGTTAGGCAATCAACTTGAGCTCAAGTCATGGTCTCAAACTACTTTGTGAATTTGAGCCCCGCTGTCAGCACAGAGCCTGCTTTGGATCCTTTGTCTCCTTCTCTCTCTCATCCCCTCCCCTGCTCACACACTCTCTCTCTCTCAAAAATAAATAAACATTAAAAAAAATAATTTCCCAAAGGCAATTGTCAGGTTGCAGTTATGGTCCAGGCTAGCCAGCCCCTAAAGCTAACTTCTTGTGGAAAATCAACATGTTGAGTCTATTTAGAAAAAGTTGTGGGAACAAAGATATAGCATTTCCAATCCTCTGACTCATGAATACAAAATTATAACCTCTTTGTTTCTATTTGTAACCTCCAAAAAATCTAATCTAGCTAATTCCATAGAATTAGACATTACAAGATTTGAAATGGATATGTTTCAAGATTTTCCTGGTTGTTTCTAAATTAAATCCCATCAATTTAAGATTTCCCCAGCCCTACCTCCATCCTTCCTTGATTGCATCTAAATGTACAGGTACTTGTCTAATATCATGGCATTGAAAACAGGTGTCATGTTATAGATTGAGCTCTCTCTCTGCTGTATTCCTCTGAGATGTTTGATCCTCTAGTTTTCTGGTTATCTCCTGGTGCCACTATCAGGTTTTTTTTTAACCTAATACTTAATATTATTTTTTAAACTTTACATCCAAATTAGTTAGCATATAGTGTAATAATGATTTCAGGAGTAGATTCTTTAATGCTCCTTACCTTAATGCCCAACGCTCCTCCCACACCCCCTCTAGTATCCTTCTGTTTGTTCTGCATATTTATAAGTCTCTTATGCTTTGCCCCCCTCCCTGTTTTTATATTATTTTTGTTTCCCTTCCCTTATGTTCATCTATTTTGTCTCTTAAAGTCCTCATATGAGTGAAGTCGTATGATTTTTGTCCTTCTCTGACTAACTTCACTTAGCATAATATCCTCCAGTTCCATCCACATAGTTGCAAATGGCAAGATTTCATTCTTTTTGGTTGCTGAGTAATACTCCATTTTATACACACACACACACACACACACACACACACACACACACACACACCACATCTTCTTTATCCATTCATCCATCGATGGACATTTGGGCTCTTTCCATACTTTGGCTATTGTTGATAGTGATGCTATAATCATTGGGGTGCATGTGTCCCTTCTATAACAGCATACCGGTATCCCCTGGATAAATACCTAGTAGTGCAATTGCTGGGTTGTAGGGTAGTTCTATTTTCAATTTTTTGAGGAACGTCCATATTATTTTCTAGAGTGGCTGCACCAGCTTGTATTCCCAAAGATTTCATTCTTTTTAATGGCTGGGTATTATTCCAGTGTGTGTGTATGTGTGTATGTGGTGGTGGTGGGGTATCACATCATCTTTATCCACTCATCAGTTGATGGACACTCGGGATGTTTCTATAATTTAGCTATTGTAGATAATCCATGTATCCCTTTGGATTAGTATTTCTGTACTCTCATTGTAAATACCTAGTAATGCCATCGCTAGATCATAGGGTAGTTCTATTTTTAACTTTTTGAGGGACCATTATACTGTTTTCCAGAATGGCTGTACCAGTATGCATTCCCATCAACAGTGCAAGAGGGTTCCCCTTTCTCCACATCCTTGCCAACATGTGTTGTTTCTTGTGTTGTTGGCAAAGCAAGAAACAGACTCTTAACTATCGAGAACAAACTGGTGGTTACCAGAGGGGAGGTGGGTGGGGGGATGGGTTAAATAAGCGATGGGGATTAAGGAGTACATTTGTGATGAGCACTGGGTGTTATATGGAAGTATTGAATCACTGTATTGTACATCTGAAACTAATATAACTCTATGTTAACTAACTGGACTTTATGTATTAAAAAAAATTTTAATGTTAATTTATATGTGAGAGAGAGAGACAGAATGTAAGCAGGGGAGGGGGAGGGAGAGAGAGAAACATAGAACCCAAAGCAAGCTCCAGGGCCTGAGCTGTCAGGAGAGTCCCATGCGGGGCTCGGACCCACTAACTGTGAGATCCTGTTGACCTGAAGTCAGCTGCTTAACCGACTGAGCCACCCAGGTGCCCCAACTAACTGGACTTTAAATAAAAACTTAAGAAAAGATGACCAGAGGGGAAAAAAATAACCAGTGTACTTTGACAATCCTTTCCTCATCTCCCTTGCATATTTTAATCATACCAATGAGAAGTTAGCTTGAGAAATGTTATTCAATTATTTATCACTTATATGGATTTTATGTCTCTTAAAAATATGATTGTTTTGAGAAATTTTATTTCTTTAAAAATGGTTTAAGTACTAATAAGAAAGCAAAGTAGTCATGCAATTTAAAATATTATGATAAATTTAAAAACCTTTTTTAATAACAGGAAGAAGTTTCTAGTAAAAGAGCTTAAAGTAAAAGAAGATTTGCTTCAAGTTCAGGTAACACACATACTCTATGCATCTAAATTTAATTAATAGTCACTCTGATAATTATATATGTAATAACATTAGTATGTATGTGAACATGGGGATATATGTGTTTGTGTGTACATTTGTGTGTATGTTTGTATTAACGTTATTTCTAAGATATTTCTTGTTGGTTGAGTTTCTCAGTAAGTTTTTTTCTGAAAATAAAATGGTAAATCCAAGCATGTTTACTGTCAAGTCAAGGTTATGAAAATTACCATGGTTTATTCAATTATAGACAATATCATGGAGGAAAGGTCATCTTGAGAGTCATAACAGTGATTTACTAGTTCTGTGACAATGGAAGTTCATTTAACCTACTTGAGCTTTATATTTTTGATTACTAAAATGGGTCAAACGGTATCTATTTATCTTAAAAAGGCATATGAGGTGTAAGAATCAAATAAGAAAAAGCTCTTCAGTAATTGTGACTTATAGAGTCCACTCTTTTTTATGTGATCGAATGAAAGGTAAGTAACCTTTATTTCATCTTGGCTTTGGAATACTTTTTTTTTTTTTTTTTTTTTGCTACAAGTTCACTTTTTTTTTATTTTTTATAATAACTGTCAGAGGATCACACCACTCATTTTAGTGAGTGGCTGGAGTTGTGTCCCACAAGTGTATGTGAATAGTTCAAGAATCAAGTAACATAAATTTGGGAAGAAAATGAGAGAGCCACTTGAGATGTTGAATATAAAATGTTCAACTTTATGGTATTTGTTTTCTATTCCTGCATAACAAGTTACCATAAATTTTTCAGTTATTAAAATAACTTGTATTATCTCACAGTTTGAATGGGTTAGGAGGCTGAGCAGGCTTAGCTGTGTCTTATGCTCAAGGTCTCACTAAACTGCAATCAAGGTAATGGCTAGGGTCTATTCTATTCTGTAAGTTGAGTTACTCTTCCAAGCTCAACTGGATGTGGCAAACTTCATTTCCTTCCTAGGACTGAGGCACTCAGCCATGAGACCTTTCCATAGGCAGTTGACATCACAGCAGCTTGCTTTTTCCTCAAGGCCGGTTTCTCTATTTTGCTGACAGTCTTATATAATGTAACATGATCATGAGAATGATATCTTGTCATGTTAGCTATATAATGCAGTCTAATAAAAGGAGTGGTATCTCATCACTTTGCTATATTCTATTGGCTAGAAACAAGTCACAGGTCCCACCCATAGTCAAAAGGAGTGGATTATTCAGAGCATAACCACAAGTATGGAGATCATGCTGGCCATATTAGAATTCTGCCTACGATACTTAACATTTTATTTTATACGGAACAGTATATTTAACAGTATATTTATTTGTGTATTTAAAATTATTATAATCCCATTATATAGTTAATATTTGAAGTTTTTAAGTTAGTGTTTTAGTTCATTTGGGTTGTGTTTTATTCCATTTGGACTGCTTTAACAAAATATCAGGGAATGGGTAGTTTATAAAAAACAGAAATTTGTTTCTCAGTTCTTGGGTCTGGAAGTTCAAGATCAGGGTGTCAACATGGTGGGGTGAGGGCTCTCTTCTGGGTTGCAGACTTCATGTTCTTTCTCATATGACAGGAAAGGCAAAGGCATTCTCTCAGTCCTCCTTTGTATGGACATTAATCTCATTCATGAGGGCCCCCATCCTAATACCAGCACATTGGGCATTAGGATTTCAACATGTGAATTTGCAGGTTGGGGGAGGAGGGAAGCGAGACACAAAAATTCAGACCATTCTAGGCTTCTATAACAAAGAATGGGTGACTTAAATAACAAACATTTATTTCACACAGTTCTGGAGGCTGGGAAGTCTAAGATCAAAGCACCAGCAGACTTGTTGTCTGGTGAGAGCCCAATTCCTGGTTCATAGAAGGCCATTTTCTTGCTGTGTCTTCACATGGCAGAAAGGGCAAGGGAGGTGTCTGGAGCTTCTTTTATAAGGCCACTAAACCATTCATGAGGGTATTACCTTCATGCCCTAATCACTTCCCAAAAGGCCCTACTTCCAAATGCCATCACATTGGAGATTAGGTTATAACACATGAATTTTGCGGGGGGACACAAACATTTAGTCTGTAGCAGCTAATGCCATTTAAAATTATTCTTTTCTGAATTTAAGGTCAAAATTTTCTATGTAAGTGTATTTTTTTTTCTGGATAAGGTCTATGGATTTAATGAGAATTTTAAAGGAATTTATCTTCTTTCTCCAAAATGCCTTTCTGTACTATCACTGATCTAGGCCATTTTACAGAGATCAATAGAAGCTAAAAAGTGACTAACTTGGGGTTAGAGAATAAATTAGTAGTGAAATCTGAACTGCAAATATGGCTCTCTGAACCCTACTTGGCATTTGCAGTTAGTGAAAATACATTTGGTTTTGCTTCCTCAGGCAGCATGGATAATAGAATCAGTTGGTATTATTATCCATCTGTTCAAGTAATTATAAAGCTTTTAAAGTGTTTTACAAGTCATATAAAACTTTTAGTTTTTTTTTTTTAATTTTTTTTTCAACGTTTTATTTATTTTTGGGACAGAGAGAGACAGAGCATGAACGGGGGAGGGG